TACAATAAAAACCAGTGCAAAAAATGTTTCTTCAGATGCACTCTTAGGTTTGATATCATTTTACCTATGCATACTCTTCTTGAAAAAAAGTGCGCTTTTAAAAAGTACTTTATTTCCATATTTGTATTTGGTTTTAAAAAGTTTTGGAAAGTTATTTAGAAAACTGTCTTTCTTACTAAATGTTTGCCTTATGCAGGAATCTCTGAAAAGCTGTGTTAGCATGATCCACGGCCACCAATAGCAGATCAGGACAAAGATGCCTGGGAGAAGTTCATGACCCTAAGTTGTAGGACATCATAAAGGGTTTGGTGGCATATGTCCTGTGATCCCAGTGCTCTGGGAGGATGAGACAAGAGGATGACAAGTTGGATCTGAGCGTGGGCAATTTATCAAGACTTTGTCCCAAAAACCAAAATAAAACAACAGGGAGTGTAGCTCAGTGCCAAGGCCCTAAGGTGTGGTTCAAGTCCAAGCACTGCCCTCCCTTAAAAATAAAATCGCAGACTGAGCTGTTCACAATGTTAAGCTAGTCATCAAGGAGAATCAAGGAGGTCATCCGGGAGCTCTTCCCCAAGGCATCCACGCGAGCAGCTGCAGGTGCCATGTGGTGTGAGTCCGACCAGTGAAAAAGCTAACTAGAGAACACTTCGCCATTTGCACATGGCACACAGAGGTCCTCAGTGTCGACGGGGATGAGCTGCAGGCCCTCTTTCACCTGTCTGCATAAAATGGGCACAGTATTCGCATATAACCTACATATATGTACCCGTAAACTTTAAATCATCTCTAGATGACTAATACCTAATACGACACTCACATGTCACCTTGTCACATGGATCCCACACAGAACTAGAGGATGGCAAACTGAAATTGTGCTTTCCAGAAATTTCCAAAATAAAATTTGGTGTTTTACCTGCAGTAGGTTGAATTTGCAAATGCAGAGCATGCAGATGCAGAGTAACTAAATATACCTAAATAAATACTAAAGCTATCCCAGTTAAAGGGACCCAAAAGCCTAGGTCTAGAATGTTCGATAACCTGTGATGTCAACCACATCCTCATCACCTGCTAGCACAGTTCTTGCTCTAACATCCTTCTTTCCCAAACAGAACTTGCTTGGTAGCATTGTTTCTTCCAAGGACAATGCAAAATACTGTTCAGCCTTCTGGACAGATATCGTACATATATAAATGGTCACCATCTTGCTTTATTTTCCTAAAGCAAGTAGCTGTTCAGGAAAGGTGGTTCTGGTATCAGAGGCTTCTCTAATGCAGTGCACGGGAGGTCAGTGGACACACCTGGCAAGGCTGTCTCCCTGGCTGGGCAGCACTGGACCTGAGGCCAGGAATGCAGCTGCAGGGTCACTAGGATGGGAGGCTTCAATCTAGGTAAGATGGAAGACAGAGAAGATTTCCACTGGGTGCTACACCTGTTGCCTCATCTCTGTGGGCAGCCGCTGGACCCTTTTCCGAGCCTTTAACTGCTATCTTTGCTGTTTTTGTGGCCCTGGAGCAGGGTGGGCTGCAGCCACTTCATCTGAGAGCTCTTCGCCCAGAGGGTCTGACTTCTGGGCCTACTGAGCACAAGAGCTTTTCTCCAGAAGGAAATGAGCAGCGGCGCGCACAAGCTGCTCTTCTAAAGCCTGGCAGCCCCCAGGAATGGGGAATGTGCTTCCCCAGGCTTCCATAATTATAAAATGCAGGCAGCAATCAGATTTTTACAACTGCAGCTGCTGAAGTGGACCCGCCTAGAAAGTCTGCCCAACAGAGACAGCCTGCTGGCTAATGCAGAAGAGAATTTATGGGTGTCAGAAAACAGTGTGATCTAAGCTTAATGTTCTGCCCCCCCTTAAAGGGCCCCTGGTTGGGTAACAGGATTGCATCAGCCAATTTATGGGCCCCTGACTGTATCATGGGGAATCTGGTCTTTCACTCACATACGTATGTGCAACAAATAGAGCAACAGGCCATCTCGGAGTTGAGCAACAGGTCCTTTCCCCACCTTGCCTGCCAAAGAAGGAGGGCTACAACGCATGAGTCTCATTAATAAGACATAAAAATGTCTCATCACTCCACTGCAAAAGCAAATAAATATAAGAAATAAAAATGTTAAAAAGCAAAGTGCTCCGCTGCTGTAGCTCCTCACTAGACAAAGGCAGAATAAACAAAACTGTCCATAACTAAGGACTTCGAGGAAAACTGCTACCCGGGCTCCTTGCCTGTCACTGGGGCCAGAGGCATCTGCATGAAGCCACCAGCTGCCAAAATACCAGGTGATGTTCAAAGTGAGGTGATTTGCTCTCTACCAGATTTCTTTCTGGGGTCTTTGTGTCTCTGGGAATGCCTGTTGTAGACATTTCTGACATCACACTTCAAAGCGGAGAAACCAGAGAACTCAAAAGAATAACATTCCCCAGCTCAGACAGCCCAGCCTGCAGCCCTTGGGAGGCAAGACACTTCCCTAGAGTTTACAGTATGCTGGGAGATAAACCCTCAGGCTTCCTTGCCTCATAGTTCTTTTACTTCAAGCACCAAATAGTCAGTCATGAAATGGTATGGCAAGGATTCCTGCTGGCAGATGTGTAGGAAGCGAGAACATCGGGATGGAGCCCAAGCTAGGATGAACTCAGCAGCAGGCACTAGAAGCTCCATGCCCAGCTGCATATATGAAGGCAGGGTGCTGGCTTCTACCACCAGCAGCTGTGCCATCCTGTGCCACCCGGACAACTTCTCTGTTTTCAAGTTTCAGTAGCATAAAATGAATGTAACGGTACCCACCTCACTCTTTATGGGGACATTATAAGAATTTGAAGGAAATAATAGTTGGAATAACATATGATCCACCAAACTCAGGTCAACTATAATAAGAACATTGCGGGGGGGGGGGAGGGAGATTGGGAGAAATTTTTAATGGTGACTGAGTAACAGGTGATACCAAAGAATCAGTGTTCATTTCCTTAGGCATAAAGTGGCACTGAAATTGAATTATTTAGTTTAATATCTTCAGAGGTCATACTGAAATATGTGGGGATGAGATGACATGATGTCAGGGATTTGCCTTAAAATATTTCAGTGAAAACAGAAAAAGCCACAGATGATGTGTGGTGAATTGTTAGTAAATGCTGAAGTTTGGTAAGAAGTGACTTGTTTGTACCCCCCTCTCTCTCTCTCCTGCATACTTGAAATTTTTCAGAATCAAAATTTAAATAAACAATGCACAATTTTCCGGAACATTAATCAGCTTCACTGGCCATTATGTCCAGTGCACAGAAAACCTGCTTCCTTTACAAGGCCCTGCCAAATTGGTCATCCAGAGGTCAGAGGGCAAGGGCTTGGGAAGATGGCCAGGAGAGGCCAGGCAGGGAGCCCAGCAGGGAAGGAGACGGATAAATGGAAGTGCCCTGGCCTTGCAGGGTCTCTGGTCTGGGATGCATCGAAATGTCAGAGCACAACTAGGATGTGTGCTTGGTCTTCAGACCTAAGTTTCGTGTGCAACTCTGCTACTGAGCGGTCAAGTGACCTTAGACCAAGTCAGTTCTTAAGAGTCACAGGAGGACAAGGAAATTGCACAGGGGGCGGGGAGAAGACATGGTCTTGCTCTTGGGAGGTAGCCCTACAAACACAGGGACCCACGGGTGTGGAACCTTTGCCACGGGTTTGATGATCACTCCAGGAGGAGGGACCAAAGGGGTACCGGGCAAAGGGGTGAAGGAGATTTCTAAAAAATGTATTGAAGGAGGGGTTCAGAGAGTGGGACACTCGTGGGCTCTTACCCAGGAGATTAGCTCTTTGCGCTCCTTCCTGAACCTCCTCCCTGCTCCTCTGGCACACAAGATGCCACGAATAACAAATGATTCTCCAAAGATGCCAAGTGGGCCTCGGGATCTCCAGGACCGACAAGGTCAGGGTGGGGGAAGGAAGGCTATGGGGCAAGGGATGCGGCTTCCATTCCCCACACGGACTAAGCTTCGCTTTTCCTTCTCTGCGGAAAGTGAAGGACTGAGCTGTCTTAAGGTTTCCACGGCTCCTACATTTTAGGAGGTAAAACTAATTTGGGGCTTGTCTTTGGAGTGGTATGGCTTTTACTAGCGGACTTCGAACCACAATGAGTACCTCAATGCCCTACCCCTGCTCCACCTGCCGCCCCCACCCACCCATTTGGGTTCCAGTGTGGTGGGGGAGCGGTGGAGAGGAAAGACCGCATCTCTTTCTATCTTTCTAGTGCAGCGCTGGCTACAGGGACAGTCACCTCTTTCCTAGCTTTGAGAGGGGGAGGAAGGGGGCGCAGTGGGCCAAGAGCCGTGTGTAAAAGTTGGAGGAACTAGGTACCCGGGGACCATCCCGCCCAGCTCTAATCGGGTCTGTCTGGAACGCAAGACCCCTGGGTTCCCTGGCGCGTGCTGTTACTCCATGCCGTCTAGGCGATTTCCGCAGGATAGGACGGACCCTGGCGCCCCCGCCTCCCCTCCCCTCCCCCGGGGAGCCAAGGCAACTAGGAGAAGAATTTCTTGGCGTGCGGACCGCGCCTCTCCTCCTGCAGGGCTTGGGGGCTCCGGCGCCCAGCCGAGCCCCTCCAGCAGGCTGACAAGAAAACCCGGTTCCAGGCAGTGCGCGCCAGAGCTGGGGTCGCAGCGTCTCAGACCCATGCGCCCACTTCCCTAAAGCTACGGCTCCAGAATGTCCCCTGTCCCCTAGACCGCTCTGTCGCGAAAGCCAGAACCAAGGCCACCGCACAACCCCTGGAGTCTCCGGCCACGCGCTGCACCCTCCACGCACCCTTCGCGCACTGAGGCTCCCTGGGTCCCGCTCCCCAGCTGCAGCGCCTCCTCCCGCACCACTAGGCAGGGTTGGGCAGGGGACCTGCGCCCCTGTAACGCTCCAGCAAAAACCCTTTGCTCTTGCGCCGCCGACCGGGGCCAGCATCCCGAGCCGCGCAGAGGTCCCGGGGAGACGCTCCCACTTCCCGCCACCCGCGGTGGCGCGGGGTGCGCGCGCTCTTACTTGGTCGCAGGGTCCGCTGTGGCCGGGCCGGGACTGGGCTCTGGCCCCTCTCCGCGCCCGTCGCTGCGGCGCCCCTTTCCCGAGCCAAGGGACCCGCGCAGACTTCTCCGACCCCCAGCTGGCCGAGGAGAGCCCAAATTTGGGAAGTGGCGCGCTGCAGCCTTGGGTTTGCTCTTTTAAAGCGAGCCGGGCGCAAACCCCTCCTCGGGCCCACCCCTTTCCCCAGGGCGGCCACTGGGGAGGCCCGGCTTCCAGCCCCCTTTGTTGTAATCCGAGCCCGGCCACTCCCGCTGAGGGGGCTCTACGAAGGCTGCCGCGCCCCTATCCGTCTGAGTACCCAGGGTTTCCGAGGCTGGGAAGACACAGGGGTGTGCTGGGGGCTGCGTGTTTCCTCCTGCGGGAACCTCCTCTCTCCATTCCCACCGCACCCTTGATTTTAACTGTTTGATGTCCAGATTTACTAGCTTCAGGACCCGCGTCGAATCCAACTGCGTATTGGAAAACCTACCCCTCCTGGCCTGTAGTAGAAGCTTAATAAAAAGTGAGGAAGGAAAGAAAGAGTTTGGGAGCTCATTCATCGCGCTTAGGCTTCTCTGGCTTTCTCCCGGAGGAAACAGATGCTAAACACAGGGCAAACAACAGCCCTCTTTCTGCCAGCGTATCACTTCTGCGGTCATGGCCACAAGTCACTCTCCTTTCTGAGGACCAGTTTTCTCTCTTGCAAGTTAAAGGCTTTGGGTCCTGTGACCTCTAAAGTCTCTGTGCCTTCGTCAGGACGCTGGCTGATTAACCATCCCTGCTCTGAGGGGCCCGGGGCCTGGTTCTGGGGGTCACTGGGGAGTCCCTGGGCCCCTCAAGGCTTTGCCAGGAGGAAGCAGCCAGCGTAAGTGGTAAATCGGAAAGCAGCCTGGGCCTGTGCCCTGCAGGCAGTGCCCACAAGGAAGCGGCAGCTAACTCCCCCAGTAAAACGCTGAACTTAACCCTTCCCGGTGCTGGGTCCTAGGGTCCTCTCTCCTGCCCCTTCCTCCTAAGCAAACCCTTCCACCCTTTCTCTCCAAGGCTGGGACTATATCTGCTGGCTGCTGAGACCTCTCCTCTCGGGCTTCTGGACGTTCCCACGACCACCACTGACCCTAGATGTGGAGCTCAGTTCACTGCCCCACCCCACCAGAGCTGGATCCTTGAGTAGTGAAGGGAGAGGAGGAGGGAGGTGTGTGTGTGCGCGGGCTCCTCGTGGTGTAATGGATCCGAAGAACCGCATGGGTGATAAAATTGTATAGAATGCAATTGTACAGAACTCAATAAAATGCAACCCAAACCCCTTAGTGCAGTTGACAGCTCAGTCAGGGTCATTTCCAGCTCCCCACCACACCCACCCCTTGCCCGTTGTTTCCTGTGTGCCTGCTACTTCAGCTCCCAGCCATTCTGCACGCCTTCTCTGTGCTCACAACAATCCTCCTGTCTCAACCTTGCAGGTGCTGAGGTCAGAGGTGTGCCACCACACCTGGCTCCACAATTTCTTTATCAATTCATCTGTTGGTAGGCAGGTTGATTTTATATCTTGAGCATTGTGAATTGGTTCTGTACAATAAATTGAGAGTGCAGATGACTCTTCCACATTTTGATTTTTTTTTCTTTTGAATTTTTATGTAGTAGTGGAAATTCTGGATCATATGATAGCTCTATTTTTAATTTTTTCCAGAAACTTTAGATTGTTTTCCCTATGACTGTTCTAATTTATATTCCTGCCAACGGTGTGTAAAGATTCCCTTTTCCCTACTTCCTTACCAATACTTACTATATTTTCCTTTTTCTTTCTATTCTTTTTTCATTGGTTTGTTTGCTTTCAGTGCTGGGGATCAAACCAGGGTGTTGTGGAATCACTGAGATCCATTCCCAGCCCAACTTTTGCTGCTTTACTAGTAGTTTAAAAAGCATGAGGTGATAGCTCATTGTGGTTTTAATCGCCTTTCCCTGGTAAAACAGTGATACAGCTTTTTTTTTCTTCTTAGATATATTCATGATTTGTATTTTTCTTTTGAAAATTTGGCTCATTTTTAAGCCAAGCTATTTTGCGGGTATTAATTGCTTCTAAATTATCTGAGTTCCTTGCATGTTTTTGATATTGACCCCTTAGCAGATGTAGTTTGCAGATGTATGTTCCCATTCTGTAGGTCGTCTCCTCATGCTGGTGACTGTGTCTCGCTATGCAGAAGCCTTTTGTCTGATGTGATCCTGTGTGTTTACTTTTGCATTTGTTGCCTATGCTGTGGGGTCTTATAAACAAAAATTCCTGCCCAAACCAAGATCATGAAGATTTTCCCTAGTTTTCCCTCAGGCTCATAGTTTGGGATCTCACATTCAA